TGGGGACACCACAGCTTTTACACCAGCTGCACAAGTGAGTATGTTCCTGGGGGAAAAGCATGGCAGGGCAGTAGGAGTGTCACATGGGCTTGTGTAACTGGTACTCAAACCTGCAGCACATCATCCTCGCTTCTATTTTTAGCAAGCTAGCTAGAAAGTACAGCTAGCACAGTAATTTCCACACAAGCTGCCATTAATAGTCCCCATTGCAACGCAGATATACCCTTATGGCCAGGCTGCAGGCTCGCAAGCAGACACTGCATCTTCATGGCATCTAAAAAGCCCTACTATGAAGGCCCTGACTAAAGTTTTAACTTCATACATACAGTGCCATCTTCACTCATTTTCAAGCATGATCCAAAGTCTGCCAGGCGTATATGGCCATTCATGTCCAAAAGAACGTTATCTGGCTTTATATCCCTGTTGAATTAAACAAAATAAAGTGATGTCAATACAGTACAAAATGCAAGTCAAAGTGCTCACTGGAGTATTGGCTCTGCTGAGACAACATGAATATAAGTAATTTAGAAGTTAGTAATCTATTAAAAAAACTTTATTATACTGATGGCATTCAGTTTATGTTTAGCTATCAGTTAAGTGCAGGGTATGTTCAGAGAAGCTTACTACTATGTTTGCAGCTGTACCACCCAGGCCTTTAATTCCATCAAACCTGCAATGGTCACTATTTGAACAGAAGAATGAGGATAAAACGAGTGACAAAGAAAGTATATGAATCACCTCTTCAGACTGTCTTGAAGAGCATCAATGTCTCAGCATAAGTCTTCTATAGGGGAAGTAGAATCTTTAGTTTCTGCCAGATATCCTGACCAAATTCTAATCAGGTTACAGTTTTTCTGCCTCCCTAAACCCTCTGTTTTCAATTCAAGACCATATTCTTCACTCCCTGTCCTAGGCTTGTTTAGTACTGCCATACTCTGTTAAAACAACTGTGCTATGATAGCCCAGAAGGAAAGTATGTTTTAGGATGCTATCAAGTGATTCCTGCACATATATAATGTATGAAGTGCTTTACATGCCTATATGAACAAAGGAGCTATAAACCTGTTAAAGAAATATATTAACAATAAGAGTATTGAAATACATCCAGTTACCAATATCAAGTCTCCTAAATTACACAATACCACAACTTCCTAGACAAAAGTTGCATAGTGAGTATAATATGCCAATGTTATTAAATGAAATTAACTACAAGTTCACTTTTACCTAACCTCATATTCTTTCATACATTAGTCTTGAGGTTAAAAATGTTAATGAATGGGCATAATGTAAAATTAATCATGTTTTCTTTCACCACTTTACACTCACATCCACTTAAAAGTATTGGAAAATAAAATGTCTGTAGCATTGAGGAAAAAGAAGGCAATGCTGAAATTTAGTGTTTAAGGCAGCAGACATTCTCTGCTGATATTTTCTTATAAATTCTGTCAAGGACTCTTAAATTAAGAATTTTCAGATATTATGTAAGGGGGAAAAAAACCTGAACAGTTTTTAAATTATTTGCTCAATTTAGCACTATATAAAACATCCAACAGATGAACAAGTTAAAATGCACCACCTTCTTCCTTGGCCAGGGGATAAGAAGGAAGGTCCTTTCTTGGATTGAGAACTGGTTAAAAGTCAGGAAACAAAGGGTAGGAATAAATGGTAAATTTTCAGATTGGAGAAGGGTAACTAGTGGTGTACCCCAAGGGTCAGTCCTGGGACCAATCCTTTTCAACTTATTCATAAATGATCTGGAGAAAGGGGTAAGCAGTGAGGTAGTAAAGTTTGCGGATGATATCAAACTGTTTAGGATAGTCAAGACAGAAGCAGACTGTGAGGGACTCCAAGAAGATCTCACCAAACTGAGTGATTGGGCAACAAAATGGCAAATGAAATTTAATGTGGATAAGTGTAAAGTAATGCACATCGGGAAAAATAACCCCAACTATACGTACAGTATGATGGGGGCTAATTTGGCTACAACAAATCAGGAAAGAGATCTTGGAGTTATCATGGAATCAGCATTCCAATTTACAAAAAATATAAAAAAAATAGGATGCTAGGAATTATTAAGAAAGGGATAGAAAATAAGACCCAGAATATCTTACTGCCCCTGTATAAAACTATGGTACGCCCACATCTTGAATACTGTGTACAGATGTGGTCTCCTCACCTCAAAAAAGATATTTTGGCCTTGGAAAGGGTTCAGAAAAGGGCAACTAAAATGATTATGGGTTTCGAATGGGTCCCATATGAGGAGAGGTTAAAGCGACTGGGACTTTTCAGTTTAGAAAAGAGGAGACTGAGGGGGGATATGATAGAGGTATATAAAATCATGAGTGGTGTGGAGAGGGCCGATAAAGAAAAGTTATTTATTAGTTCCCTAAATAGAAGAACTAGAGAACACCAAATGAAATCAATGGGGAGCAGGTTTAAAACTAATATAAGAAAGTTCTTCTTCATACAGCGTGTAGTAAACCTGTGGAACTCCTTGCCAGAGGAGGCTGTGAAGGCTAGGACTATAATAGAGTTTAAAGAGAAGCTAGATAATTTCATGGAGGTTAGGTCCATAACCAGGGGATAAAATTGCTTGATCGTTGTCTTCGGTCCACCCTCTCTGGGGCACCTGGTGCTGGCCACTGTCGGTAGACAGGATACTGGGCTAGATGGACCTTTGGTCTGACCCAGTACGGCCGTTCTTATGTCAGTGGTATCCATATCAGTTCAGCAACATATCCCAACATACACTCTGCAAATACATCATTGATCATCACTCCTCCATAGGATAGAGCTGTGTATGTGAGCTGTCTTATAAAATTAATTTAACTTTAAAATATGAGGTACAGATTTACTTTAAAAATTCCTTCCTGTTTTGGGATATGTATTTAAAGAAAACTGCACATTATTACTAAAAAAAAGTGCTTTACGGTTGTCAATTAGTCTCAGAAGCATTTCATGGAGGAGCATCACACAGAAAGCGCATGCTGAGATCTCTCATTCAATGGAAACTGCTGAGTTCCATTGCAGATAACATTTACAAAGGAAAAAAGGAAAGTAAACTTCTAAATATGCTTGCTGCTTCCTACTAAGGATCTTAAAGAGTTGTTATCTGGCTAATTGTGTACTGATACAGTTTGTATTGACTACACAATTAGCGGATAAGGGGGCCACTCTGCAGAGCCTCAGTGTGGGTAGCTCCCAAAGCCGGCTCATGACAGGACCAAGCAGTCCCAGCTCGCGCTGGCTCTGAACCACTACGGCTCTACATTTTAAATGTAGTAAGAGCATGGCAGCTCTTACTACACTTAAAACACAGAGTTGCAGTGGTCCTGGTGTTGTGCAGGTCAGGACTGCTCAGTCCCAGCTTGTGCTGGGTCCAGCAGCCCTTGTTCATGGTGGCCCAGGGTGTCAGCAGGCAGGGGCTGCTCTGGCCAAGTAGCCCCAGTGGCCATGAACAGGGGCAGCTTGGCGGTAGTGGTGCAGGGGGTGGAGGAGGGAGGTCCAGCTCACTGAGATCCCTGCAAACAGGGGCTGCTGCCAGAGCAGCCTCAGCTCGCCATCAGCAGATAGTGCTTCACAGCAGCCTCCCTCTCTCTGTCCTTCCCCCCACTGCCTCGAATAGAGGGAGCAGGGGAGAGGTGGCATTGCAGAGACAGTGTTGGAGGAACCAGCTTTTAAGATGGTTCCCCCCAGAACTGCCTCTTGTTCCCCCCTACTTGCTGCCTCTCATACAGAGGCAGGGGGGGGAGGGAGAGTAGTTGAGTACTCCACTTGACTACCCACTTACATCCCTACTTCCTACAGGTTATCTTTGGAGATTAAAGCACATAATTTTGATTTACTCATTTTTTCATGGCTAGAAAATATGCCACTTAAGCATTCACATTTTATCAATTAAAATCCACTACATGACATGCTATATTTAGCACCGTACTATGTTATATGAATTTATGCAATCTGGCTGAGAAAGAAAACAATGGATTTGATGCTGACTGTAATATATATATTACATTCTCCTCATGCGTACACATTTTATAAAAAATAAATTTATCATTTAACTTCCCAGCAAACATGGGATAGTGGTGTGAAAAATTATTGCTGAAACTTCATTATTATAAAAAAAATCACAGTTCAATAGCAGTATTAGTAAAAAAAAAATTAAAATTTAGATAAATCATGTACATTAGTAGAAGATACAAGAAATTTCAATACCTGCTTATTCACAAAATCAGATTATCCACAACAGTCCCCCAGAAAACAGTATGAATCAGTGATTCTCTGCTGTGTCAAATTACACAATCTACAATATGCATTTCGGACTAATGATCTATTTATAAAATTTAATTCTGCTAAATTATTGGATTTAATTACACCAAACCTATACTGCTTTACAGGAGAAGTAGTTTACATTAAGAGAAAAAGCAAGCAAACAAAGAGATTGTGGGTATGGCTATATGTCAATTGACACTGAGATGGACTGGTTTGCGGAGAAGAGTTAATTTGAAAAGAAAATGCATGAGTTTAGTGTCTATGAAAGGTGCCGATAATCACAAGGAGACTGATGTGCGCCATCACACAAACAGCAATAGTGCAGCTTTCCCAAATAGCCCCATAAATGTACCTCAACCAATACCAGAAGGGCAGCACAATTGCCTGCACGCCCTCCAATCCTGACTGCATAAAACACTTAAGTAGAGCTCCGGCCGCAACCAGGAAGCTCTGGCCCTAGTCATGGAGCTCCATCCCCTTTATGGCTCCAAGAGCCAGGGAGCTCCAGCCCTAGCGGCAGCCAGGTTGCTCTGGCTCAAGCCCTCCAATTGCAGCGCTTCAGCCCCAGATGTGGAGCCAGGTGGCTGCAGAGCTCTGCCCCAGTTGCTTAGCTATGGCCCCAGCAGTAGTGGGGCCGGCAGCAACTAGAGAATCCCAGGGGACTGGAGCAGTAGCAGGGGCAGGCTGGAGCCCTAGCCTGGTGGCAGCACAGGCCATGAGGGAAAGGACCTTTCATTGTCCGGCAAATCCCCCCATTTGGGACCAGCGAGGTCCAGCTGTACTAGGAACTAGAATGAGATTAGGGATGTTAACTTGTGTGTATTTCTGTAAACATGTAACCACTAGATTTTTTTTTTTTAATGGTTACACATTTACATGCAGGGGAAGCAGGGGGGTGCTGGTACTCATGAGGAATCGTCTTAAAAGCCGATATGTGTGGGGAGCCCGCTTGAAAGTTACTTCCCACGTGTACTGGCTCCCGCCTCCCCTCCTCAGCTGCCTCTGTGGTGCTTAAAAGCCAGCTCCCCCTCACATATTGGCTCCTGCCTGCCCTCGCCTTTGCTGCTGCCTCTGCCTCCACAGGATCCAGCACACTTGGGGAGTCAGCTCACAGGCACCAGTTCCCACTTCTCCTCCCCTTTGCTGCC